CTAGCTGGCAATGAAGCCGTTAGCACGTTTCTGCTATTGCTGCTGTTCTGGTTGCATCTGGAATCTTTTGTCTGTGTACAAACTCTTGGAAATACACCCATGGGTATGCTGTCCACCTAGGGATTCTCGCCCACCCCCACATAATTTTCAGCCAAAACTTCTACTATATTTCCCATGCAGATACAGCACAAGGAGGGATACACACACACACACACACACACACACACACACGCACGCACGCACGCACGCCCGCACAGGCACACAGACACACATAGCAAGAGCATCCCTCTAAGTCATTTCTGTGATAAAAGGCCAGTCCGCGCCTCACATCTGATGTTTGGATACAGCTGTCTGTACACCAGTGACCGGCCTTCTTTCTGCTCTCCTCCCTCCCCCAGCCTCAGGGATTCCAGCCAATGTCCAGCCAATCATCAACTATGAAAGAGAGGTTATTTTTATACGTCCATTAAAATTCCTACTACCTATCACATCCTCCTACTCCTTAGGGGCAGGCGATGTCTTTTCCACCTTAGGAAAGAGCATGAAGGAGTCACCATGCTGCCCAGCCCCTTGCCCGGCAGGATTAGAGCAACAAGCTGGTGATGGACGTTACCACATGTTACCAAGGTCCCGAGTTCTCCCTCATGGATCATCTCGCCCAGTCCTCGCTGGCACAGGCACGGCCGGTGGCAGAGGTGCTGATATCTGAGGCCGAGTCCTGGAACCCAGAGCCCTATGCCCAGCCGCAGGCCTCCTCCGGGCAAGAGACCATCTTTCCACCCCGTCTGCCCCGGAGGCCTCTGTGCCCTCCTGCTGTGCCCCAGCAGAGCTGGGTGATCTTACAAACAGCCGGGGCTGGTCAGGAAGACTAGTCAAGGACACGCGATGCAATGCCAACCTCCTCCGGGGAATGACCTCCAGCAGGGCAACCTGCTCGCACGTCCACGGAGAGAAAGCAAAGAGGGATTCACCCCATCCAGACAGTCCTTGCAGGTGGCTGGAGAGTGAGCCGCAGTGGGCGTGACTCTGTGAGTAGCTAAGGGTGTTTGGGATCAGGAAATGTAGACCCCCTCCATCTGGGCTTCCTCTAGGACAGTGTTTCCCAAACTTTTGACATATGTGTACCCCTTCTATAATTTTCATAACGCTGAGTACCCCTCGTACTCATGAGAACGTAGAATTAGGGGCAGCTAAGCACGGTATAGTGCATGTCCCCGCCAAACTCCGGTGCAACGTGTACCCCCACCAAACTCTTCCCGAACCCCTGGGGGTACGCGTACCACACTTTGGGGAACACTGCCTAGGAGTTCCATCATCGCTTAGATGCACAGGAAGCAGGAGATTCAGGAGATCTGCTGAATGGGAGTGGGAGTGGGAGACGGGGGGGTGAGGGGGATGTTTTATAAAAAGAGCAGGCAATTACACAAACAAATAGATTACAAAGCCCTGTGGGGGAAATGCATCTATCTCTGCTCTGTGTGGTGTGAGTAATCGTCGCCCCATGCCCGCAGACAACCGAGATAAATGTGCCAGGAGCACACGGACCCAGCGGGGCACCGGGGCGGAGGAGGGCACGGAGCCTGCAGGGAAGCACCGTTAGGCTCCGCGTGAGCAGGCAGGGCCGGGAGGAAGCCGGATGCCCGCAGGTGCCCGCTCAGTGGCATGTACGAGAGAAACACCCAGGAGAGCGTTTGACAAATGAAGGCCCCCAGCAGGTGTGGGGGGGACCTTATTCCACTTTTTCGCCACAGGCTGGCATCGCTGGGGCCCACCTCCCTATGGGGTTGACAGGCAGCTACAGTGTCTCCACCGCCTCCTCCCCAGTCTCTTCCCCAACCCCGTCTCCCACAGCAACGTCAGGAGCCAGCATTCCGCACTGAAGCCTTCTTTTGCTCTTAGAGTCAGGCGACCAGACGTCCCTCTTTTGGCGGGACAGTCCCGATTTTGAACAATTTGTCCCGTGTCCCTCCATGTTTTAAAAAAGTCCCCATTTGCCAAAACCGGTTTAGCTCAGTGGATAGAGCTTCGGCCTGTGGACTGAAAGGACCCGGTTTCGATTCTGGTCAAGGGCATGTACCTTGGTTGTGGGCACATCCCCAGTGGGGGGGGGGGGGTGCAGGAGGCAGCTGGCCGAGGAGTCTCTCTCATCAATGTTTCTAATGCTCTATCCCTCTCTCTTCCTCTCTGTAAAAAATCAATAAAATATATTTTTAAAAAATAAAAAATAAAAAAGTCCCAATTCTTTCCAAAACCGATTTTTTAACAATTTGTCCCGCAGGATGTGGGACAAATTATTCAAAATCGGGACTGTCCCGCCAAAAGCGGGACACCTGGTCACCTTATCTTAGAGTCAGGGCTGAGTTCTCAGACATTTAACAACATTTCCTGAAACCCAATGAGCAAACTCTCAATTTCCTTATTAGAGAAGGATGGGGGGCTGGTACCACGGCAACAGAAAACCCCTGAACCTCGTTTATCCTGTAGCTTCGCTGACAGGATTACAGAATCCTTTTCCAGATCCCGATTCAAAGCGGCGAAGGCGTCGCTGGGTTCCAAGGCCTCGGACACATCCCCGTGGGTGGACGGCGTCCACACGGTGAGACAGCTGCCGCCACTACCCGCCTGCCCGGCAAGGTGCATGGGAAGCGAGCGGGACAGCCACGCTCTGAGCTGGGGAGAGCGTCAGGCTGTCAGTCCAGCTCGGAGGGCATCACACACACAGTTCAGCATCGCAGGGACCACCCCAGAGATGAGCCAGTGGCGGCTCCGGGGGCGCAGCTGTTCCAACCACGCCTGCTTCCTTTGGGGTGACCCTCACCAGAGGAGCTGTGCTCTGCAGCAGCCGCCCGAGCTCTCCCTCTCCTCCAACCCCACAGGAGAGCCACAATCTTGGGTGCCATCCACCTCCATCTCATCTGGCTCCCAGTCACGCTCAGATACAGATGCCAATGAAACATGGTGGGGCCAAAGGGTCAAGGGGTTCCACCACTCAAGACACTTGTGCTAAAGAAAATGCCGTCCTGGGTGTCATGAGATTTTCAAGCTCAAAGGAAAAGGAGAAGCCTGCAGGGCACTCATACACAGAAGGAGAGAGGCCCACCCAAATGCATTTTCGAGAAGGCGCCCCGATAAAGGTGCTAAAGAACGTAAGAAGAGTACAAGCTTGCATCCACGACAAAGGAGCGACGAGAGCAGCAGCACGGCGGTCATACGGAGCACCGAGGACATGAACTCGAAAACCCAGCCTGCTCCCTGCAGCCCATACCCTGACAGCTAGTCCTCATCACTTTCCACATGGAATTCCTGTGACGCCCAGCCCTCCATCCCTCCTGCTAAGATGCATTTACACCTTTGATGTGTCCCGGGGAGCAGTTCACACACAATGTGCGACGTCCTGGAGAAGGCCAGGACAGCCCATGGTCCTTGGTCCGGATGCATGGAGGGGATTTCAAGGCGCAGCCCAGGACAAGGCCCGGAGAAGGGGCTTTCGTGGAACACCGCCGTGGGTAATCCAGCACAGAGGCCATGCTGTCCTTGAGGATAAAGGTAATGCCGATGTGTCCATCTCCCAGCGAGAGCGTCTCATCCACAGGGAGATGGTCACGCAGGCGGAGAACTGACACCCCCCCCCCTTTCCAGAAGTCACACGGGGTTTGCAGACTGTTTAAGAGCAGACTCTTGCTCTAGCTGGTCTGGCTCAGTGGATAGAGCATCGGCCTGCGTACTGAATGGTCCCAGGTTCGATTCCAGTCAAGGGCATGTGCCTGGGTTGTGGGCTCAATCCCCAGTGGGGTACTTGCAGGAGGCAGTCGATCCATAAGTCTCTCTCATCATGGATGTTTCTCTCTCTCACTCTCCCTCTTCCTTCCTCTCTGAAATCAATACAAAAAAAAAAAAAAAATATATATATATATATATATATATATATATATATATATATATCAGATTCTCAGAATTAATTCACATTTAGAGACACACATTTGCAGAAAGCTCATCACTCAGCATGATTCCTGGTTTCCTTCTAATCTACAGCTTACACTCCTTCTACAACCACTATTGCTTCCCACGTATATTTTTGACAGGCACTTTAATGATAATTTTCACCTCTGTTAGACAAATGCATGCTCAATATAAAAAAAAAAAATCTGAAAAATACACCAAAAGTTGAAAGCAGAAAAAAAAAAAAAATCTCAGGCATATTCTTACCAACATTGTTAATATTCTGGTATTTTTCCATTTAACGTCTGTTTGATTCAATAGCTCCTTGGAACCAATATGCTCCATAAGTCAACTCTGGTAAAAATCACCAATAAGCTATGATGTAAACTGCCATCTGTAATCTTTCAATTACCTTAGGACTGTAAAGCAACCAACAGATTCCATTTAAAAAGATATAACTCGCCAAAACTGGTTTGGCTCGGTGGATAGAGCATCGGCCTGCGGATTGAAAGGTCCCAGATTTGATTCCGGTCAAGGGCATGTACCTTGGTTGCGGGCACATCCCCAGTAGGGGGTGTGCAGGAGGCAGCTGATCGTTGTTTCTCTCTCATTGATGTTTCTAACTCTCTATCCCTCTCTCTTCCTCTCTATAAAAAAAATCAATAAAATATATTTTTAAAAATAAAGTAAAATAAAAAATAAAAAGCTTAAACTTGCTGGGGAAACGGGTGAAGGGGGCTGTTTAATACGTGAACGCAAGCTGGCGCTCTTCCTTCTGTCTTTCCAGACGCCCCCTGGGTGGCCTCAAGCTTATTCAAGCTCTTCTGTAACTTCAGATATAAACCCCTTTCTTTAGACGTGCAATTCCTTCTGATTGTCTGGGAAGAATAATCTCCTGTGACTCTGGGAAGCACCGGAGAACAGAGAACGTGGTGTTTTTCTTGACAAGCACACAGCTGCCCGCATTGATCGAGATACGGAACGAGGATTTCATTTTCCTGTCAGCCCTCCCCGACAGACATGCTCCTCAGTGATATCAAAAACAAAAACGCCCGGCTTACCTGATTAAGAAGTCATGGAGGCCAACGTCAAAATACCTGTTCAAAGGAGACACAGACAAGCATATCAATGGGAGATATTTACAGAAGTGGGGAACTGGGCCAAAAGATAATACGTAATTTACTTTCAGAGCGTGGTGAATAAAAGGATCACTCTGTGGTAGCCTTTCCCCAAGGATGGCCTCTGGGGCAGCCTGCAGCGTCACCTACACATGCAGGTCCCCAGGCAACGCCCCAGACCCAGCGAGGAACCTGGACGCGTCCCCCAGGCCACGCTGACGCAGAGCCGCTGCTCTCTGGTGGCCAACGTGCCCGCCGGTCTCCACTCCCTCTAGAAATGAAGGCCCCGGGCCTCGTGGATTATATATATATATATATATATATATATATATATATATATCCACTTCTCCAACAGGTGAGTCCTTTTGTAACCCTACTTGTCTCAGATGTTTACTCAAAAATAAATAAAACATATTTATTTAAATATATTTTATTGATTTTTTACAGAGAGGAAGGGAGAGAGATAGAGAGCTAGAAACATCGATGAGAGAGAAACATCGACCAGCTGCCTCTTGCACACCCCCTACTGGGGATGTGCCCGCAGCCAATGCACATGCCCTTGACCGGAATCGAACCAAACCGGTTTTGGCAAATAAAACATATTTAAATATACTTGAAACTGCACTGGCCAAAGGGAAGCCACACAGGAGTGGGGAAGGCTCCGCTGTGGTCCTCCCGGCTCCTCGCAGCCAAAGTCCCTGCAGCTTTCCACTGGGGAGAGCAGCCCAGTCCCCACCAGGCTGGGCCGAGGAGGGTGGGAATGGGGCTTTCAGCCACAGCCTTCCCTGGACACCACTAAACTTACTGAGTCTCTAGAAAGAGCAGTGATTGTGTGACCTCCCTTCCCACCAGACCGACCTCCTGGCTAGTGATCGGCCTGAGTAAAGCCCGAGTTAATGCCTTCTCTACGGACAGTGAGCACTGGACACAGAAACTCACCCTGGGGTGGGGTCTGACTCCCCCTCGCCTCCAGCTCCACCCCTACGCGTGTCCCAGGAGCACCCCGCCGGCCCGGCCACCTCAGCCCACCGGACATATGGCAGGCGACAGCTGACATTAGACAGCATTCCTTGCTTAAATGGCAAGGTTCTTTTATGGCCCCAAGCATCTATTTGAAGATCACAGACGTGTGGCAGGTGAGAACAGAGAAACAAAGCCTCACATAAAAGTTACCACGTTCCCGTGTTTACTCAGTTCGGGGGCATTTAAGTACATTCACGTTGTTGTGCCGCCATCACCACCACCCACCTCCAGCACTTCTCTCTCTTCCTCGAGTGAGACCTGGGTCTCCTCTGTGCCAGGGGAAAGCTGATTTCGCTCCTTCCAAAGGGCTCGGGGGTGGGCCTCTGCTGTGAGGCCGTGTCTTTAGACACGAGCACACCAGTGAAGTTTCTAGAAATATGTTCTCATTCGTTTTCATGTACAGATAGATGGAGCTAGACTAGGAACAAAATAAGCCTCTTCCTTCCTTCTTTTCTTCCTTCCTTCCTTCCTTCCTCCCTTCCTTCCTTCTAGAATTGTATACCAGGCTCTGTGCTAGGCACTCTGTACAGTATCTCTTTTAATCCTCACAACCAACCCTTCAAGATGGGTTCCTACCGAAACTGGTTTGGCTCAGTGGATAGAGCGCCAGCCTGCGGACTGAAAGGGTTCGATTCCGGTCGGGGACATGTACCTTGGTTGCGGGCACATCCCCAGTGGGGGGGTGGGGGGGTGTAGGAGGCAGCTGATCAATGACTCTGTCTCATCAATGTTACTAACTCTCTATCCCTCTTCCTTCCACAATGTAAAAAAATCAATAAAATATATTTTTTAATTAAAAAAAGAAAGAAATAGGGCTTCACCTCTGAAATAAGATATCTATCAAACTGTAGCACAACTCATCACCTTTTAAGAAAACACTCTTTTCTACCCCCAGCCCATACATAAGCCAGTTGTCCTTATTTGGACACATAAGCAATCCTGTGCATATAATTCTTGGCTCAGAGAAATTAAAAACAGGAAATCTTTTGCTTGTGTGAGTGATACAAAAGTTTTGTTGTCTGAACACCAATGGACAGCAGCCATGGGAAGTGGGTTTCAGCTTGATAAACTTATAAAGAACGTGCTAGCAAGTCACAAGGCCCTAGTGAGGCAGCTGCCCATCCAGGATGAGTGTGAGCCTGAGCTAAAGGCTGTTTAGAGAAGACTGAACCATCAGACAGGAAACTGGAATGCGTGGCCTTACAGGTTCCATCTGGCCTCAGGCTTCCTGTGTCGGTCCCTTTCTGCATTGTGTGATCAATGGTAGGTCAGAGGAAGACGTGGAGCATGGGAACCTGTGAGGTAGAAAGAGTGACATCCAGGTAGGCTGTTCGGAGTAAAGGAGCCTTGATCTGAGCTGAGCGCTGAAGGTTGCGGATGCGGTGGCCAAAGAATGAGTGGATGAATACTGAGGATGTAGACAGGTGAGTGTGCGTGCGGGAGGGAGTGAGTGTGTGTGTGATGACACTGCAGACAAAGGAAGCAGCCTACAGAGCAGAGACAAGAGGAAATACATCTCACTGGGGGGACGGGGGTGGGCAGGTATCTGTAAACAGCTGGGTATGACTGAGGGCAAGGGCAGAGGGGCAGAGGCCACCTGGCAGCAGGGCAGAAATAATCAAGGGTAAGAGGCAATGTTTATTGGGTGTTCAGTGTGTGTTAGACCTCATTTAGTCCTCCCAGCAGCCCTGGCGGGATTGCATCATTACTCGGTCTCCCTTTCACAGTGGAGGCAGCTGAAGCCCAGAGAGATCAATAACTCACCTCAGGGTTCTCAGCTAGAAAAGTGGCTGAGGCGACACCCTAACCCAGGAAGTGCGGCTCGGAGCCCACAGGGGTCAGCGCTGCCTCTGTACTGGCTCTCCGAGCATGCTTGTATGTCCTGGGAAGTTTATAGTTCAGCCTAAGGGCCCTGGGGAGCCATTAAACCCATCTAAGCAAAGGAGTGGCTGGACACAGATTTGCCTTCTAGAAAGATCCCACCTGGCTTCCGTGACAGGGAGGAGGGACAGCGTGAGGTGGGGAGGCCGGGTGTGGGAGATGGCGGTGGTCCTGCTGAAAGCGGCCTGAGGGGCCTGGGCCAGGCCTGAGCCAGCAGGGGCGAAGGTCACGGCGGACCTCCCATGTCTTCCCTCTTCCAATCAAGGACTTCACTTGGTCGGCAAACTCATTAGTCAACAGAGCCAAATATCTATAGTTCAATGACTGAAATTTCTTTTGAGAGCCGAATTTTTTAAACTTAAACTTCTTTCTAACGCCACTTCTTCAAAACAGACTCGCCCAGGCTGTGGCATTTTGAGGAAGAGCCACACTCAAGGGGCCAAAGAGCCGCAAGTGGCTTGCAAGCCACAGCTTGCAAACCACTGTCTTTGGGCAAGGTCTGTGGGATGGCTGCATAAAGAAGAGGCGTAAACGCATACTGGCTGCGTTCTGTTGTTTAATTGGGGAGGTTTTATCTTGTTTTGTTTTCTGCCTGGTGCTCCTCCCAATGTGTTATTTTTGTCTTCTGGCATGAAAATATTGGTTTTGTAATTTCATACTTTAAGCATTTTTCCAAAAGGAAAGTGAAAATCTCCTTGTGGAACATTTTTCTTAGCAGATAAAGTGTCCACCCTCCCCACTACTGAGCCTACACTGGACAGCAGTGAAGACGCGACACCCAGGTGAAAAGCCGAGGACCTCAATTCAGATTCCCAGCGTGACCCCCCATCAGGTCAGGGGTGGCTGTTTCACCCCCTCGGTGAGAACAGTCGCTTTGACTAATTGCCTCATTAGGAGCTTTTCCTGAGGACACGCAGTGATGTCAAGCCCGGGAAGTCCTCTGGGGTGACTGATTCAGCCAAAATACTGACTGGTAGGTGAGCAGGGCATTCTCTGGCGATGTGAGAGCCTCAGTCTTCATGTCCATGGGGCTCTCCCCCGGAGAATGCTCCAGGGAACCAAGCCTAGGAAGGGCGTTTCAACTCCAAGTGGAGATGTCCCAGGACATCAGTAGAGGCACGCTGACTCACTTTAACCTGTGGGCATTCCTTCCGGAAGGAGTACCTGCGATGGCTGAAATGCTCAGAGGTGTCTATTCTTTCTTTAGAAAATGCTGAAGGCCAGGAGTTTCCTCCTGACTTAACAAGTCACTTTTTCTTCCCTCGTCTAAAGCACTATTTGGTCCATTCCAGCCGAAACCGGTTTGGCTCAGTGGATAGAGCATCAGCCTGCAGACTGAAGGGTCCCAGGTTCGATTCCGGTTGAGGGCATGTACCTTAATTGTGAGCATATCCTCAGTAGGGGGCGTGCAAGAGGCAGCTGATGGATGACTGGCTCATCAATGTCCCTAACTATCTCTCTCCCTTCCTCTCTGTAAAAAAAATTAATAAAATATATTTAATAAATAAATAAAAATAAAAATAAAATAAAAACTATTTGGTCCATTCCAGCCCAAGGTAACTCCAAGTCCTGAGTAGCCTATGAGCCTGGGAGGCCCCTTTATCAGGCTTTGGCTCAGGTGCCAAACCTGGATTGACTAGGGGGCCATGGTACTGGTGCCCAGTTCTCAAAACTGTTTCGGACGCATCGCGGACTGAAACTGGGCTACTGTTTTTGCTAAAATGGGCTCATAAGGTCCTTGGCTTCCTTTTGTATCTCAGTGGTTAGTAGAGGCTCCAAGATAGGACACGGAGAAATCTTCAAGGACTGTGCCTCCTACGGATACGCCCACGCGGCTGGTTTGACGTAAGAGTGAGAGATGCAACGCCTTTCCCAGGGAGTGGCTCTCTCTAGACCGCCGAGGACAGGGACCTGGGATGAGCCCTCTGTAACCAAAGGCAGGCATTCAAAGTCCGGGAAAGAACTCAAACACCTCTTCCGTGTCTCTACAGGAAATGGCGTTGATCCTCTTCCATCGATAAAAACCCCTCCCGGTTGCTCTTCGTTATTTTGAAGTATCGCCCAATTCTAGGCAT